GCCTTTTCGCACAGTTTATTTGACCCCGTCAGACCCCCCCCCCCGACTCCCCCCCCCCCCCCAAATCGGCCGCAGGTCTACTTTTCCCTCGCAATTGACATTTGATTGTAGAGTCACTCAAGAATGAATATTCTCCAATTAGAAAAAATATATGCTGTGGTGAAACATCAATTATTTTACATTGAGAATTATGTTTTAAATAGACAAAAACAGTTCAGTAAAATCTGGGACCTTTTGCATAATTCAGGGTTGTTTTTGAAATGTGTAATGGATTTGGATTATTTTTCCGTTTAAACGTTTAAACCTGTAAAACGTCACATCCTTATTTTAAGTGAGATTTTGAATTTTTCATATTTTGTTTAATAGATAGGGATGTCAGTTCAGCTTTCCTAACGTCTCGGCGTCATCACATCTCCCAATTACCCAGAGCAAACACAACAACTCTGAAAGTTGCCTGTATCACATCCGAGTGCCGAGTGCCGTCAACATCACCCTGAATGTATCCTACATGCACACCGAGAGGCTGAAGGATTACCTTCAGATTGGGCCAGGGACCAACGAGTCGGACTGGGTGGAGTATAGTGGACTGCTAGACGCGCCGCTGGTCATCACGTTTCAGGCCAATCAGGCGTTTTGTGGCTGGTACTCGGACTTCAATGTTATTCAGCAGGGATGGGTCATCCGGTATGAAACAGGTACGGTAATTCAATATGCACAGATCCTAGAACCAGAGAGGCAAGACTAAACATAATTTCAATGGGAAGCTTTTGAGACGTTGGTGGCAGCAAAACACCGGTCCTTTCCCATTGTTTGCGTCATGTTCAGCATGTGCGCTTAGCTTAAACATGATGCAAACAATTGAAAAGTACCAGTGTGTTTGCTGCCACCAACGTCTCAAAAGTCTCCCATTACTTTAATCGAATGTACACAAATAAACATGGTGACAACTGACAAGTCGGGCCGATTATTACTTATATCATAAACTGTCCTCCTTCGCTTGTGTTTAAAATGACTGGACCATTCCTTGATGTTCCTTAACCCTAACTGTCTTCAATCCTTCACAATCCTCCTGGCGGTTTGGAGGGTTTGGAGGATTAAAGCTGAATGGCACCAAAAAAAAATTGTCAGTTGATTTTGGAGGATGCATTGTGATGAGTTCATAGGCTGTACCCTGCATTGTTTATGTTCAGCCATGCATAATTGAGCCCTGCATTATGCTCAATATCACCCGCACTGCTTCTGAATGTCGTTGGCACTGCCTCAACTCCCAAGTTCAGTAATTGTTGGAGGATTTTGAAGGATTGAGGCAATAGTCCCTCCTCTGAACAAATTCAAGAATACAGTAACTGATGATTTTGGAGGATTGAGCTGAATCCAATTTTTACATGGTGGCAATTGGAGGAGTTTGCAGGATTGAGGATGGTTCCTAGCCAGAAGGGCCTAGGGGTTAATAATAATAATAATACTGGAGTCTTATATAGCACAGGTATCTACAAACAATTAGGTACTCAAGGCGTACATGTAGGAAATTATGTCTGTTATTAAAGAAAGGTAAATGAAGTCTATGAGAAATATGAGACCCATTATGTAGCACCTTATAAGGGTTTACAAGGTGCTGTGGTGCATATTGCAGCCACTGCAGAAAACACCGGGCAAACCCCTTCTCTTAGCGATAAGTGTTACTGGGTTCTTTAACGTGCATTACACAACACTTGAGACCTACTGCTTAGGGTTAACCTAAGGCAACCTTTAGAAAATCCCTGTTTGATGCTTGTAAATAATTTGATCATTTAATGTAAGTTGTTTTGTTTGGTATCATTCTTAGATGGTTTGGAGTGTGAATGGGCTTCCAACCCATGTGCACCTGGTTACGCTGTGTGGAGGGATTTGCCAGCTATTCGTTGAAGGTGGGTCGATCAGTCAGTCTGTTTTACTTTTCTAAAGATAAAGATTGAACAAAGACATTGCCAGATAGGGAGGTTGCCAACATAAGACTAGTGAGTCATGAGTTGAGTGACAGAACTTAATTCTGCTGGTTTAAATTAATAGAAGATGGAGCACTTAAAAACATGAGGTTTAAAACCAGTGACATTGCCCCTGAGTTTTAAAGGTAATATAGAACATTTGTTTTTGCTGTATTTTCAGAAATGAATGGATTTGAGGGTGAGTATTTTTATAGCAAATATTGTTAAACTGACCTGTTTAAAAGTTTTGTGTTCATGGATGCTGGAAAAAACTAAGAAAAAGTGTTGTCTTGTATTCTGGTTCCTGACCCTACTTCAGATGAAACAGAGAAATTTATAGGCATCAGGGACTTGTCAGGTCAGGGAACCAGACTAGCTGGCTTGCACCTGTTCACTGATGGGTAACAGATTGCAAAACACAATGTGGACTAAGTAAATTTGGTAAATTGGGGGCAGTATTTGAAAAAAGTCAGTTTTTTAACGAAGGTCGGCCAACATCATGGAAATTGATACAAAAATTTCTTGAAAATGAGCACACTTGGTGCCGTGATTTCACAGGATGCTTGAGTATTATTCACTTACAGTCAAGTAAGGTAGTTCATAATAGTCCTGGTACTTTGGTTTTTGATGTTTGCAAATATATATTACCTTTAAGCATTATTTTTTTTTGGACTGAATATGCTCAACCACTTTAAATACCTTTTTTTTGTAAAAAAACTTTTAAAAAAAATGTCGGTGTTGGAAAAAGATTTTCCAACCTCAACCAGAAGAGGATTTGTTAACAAATAATCAAGCTTTAATTGAGAAAAAAACAAATGTGGCGATTCGATTTTGACAACAAATTGATAAATAGAATTGACATTTTTAATTGTAACAGAGGTGCTGCAGTGTGCCAGTGATCTTGTAAGAATGGAGGGCTGTGCTTTGAGGGAACATCATCATATTTCTGTCAGTGCAGTGAAGGCTACACAGGAGAAAACTGTGAAACAGGTAATAGTGTCATTGATTTAATATTTAGTAGTGTACTGAACCTCATGTCCTTGTTGCAGGTGATATTATAATCTGTGTGTTTTGTACACAATGACCACAATATGTATTGGGTCCCTATGTGTATGCAATTCAAAGGTAACGTTTCGTTATTGTACTTTTCCCCCTCAGATGTTGGTTTCTGTGCTATGAACACCCCATGTCAGAATGGGGCGACCTGCATCAGTCAGGATGCCACTTCATTTACATGTGACTGTGCAAGTGGCTGGGACTGGACAATTATGTGATCAAGGGTAGAATGGCCCACTTTTGTTTATACATAGAGTCCCTCTGATTTCTAACTTGTGCCGTAGAACGATGACATTGAAAAGTATGAGACCATGGGGCGGAATAGCTCAGCTGGTAGAGCACTTAGAACACAAGTCCAGCTGCAGAGGTCTCTAGCTTGAATCTCATTAAAGTCAAGTTTTCATCCGATCTTTTCAAAACATCACACTAATTGCTTCCAAAATCACACTTTTTGCAAAAACACCAATCAAGTTATATACCGGCAAGTACATGTTTAAATAATCAATAGAGAATATTTTTTTTCCATGACTTGTGTTTTCTTTTCCTTTTTATTCATTTCATTCAATCTGATCATAAGGTCGGACAAAGAATTTGAACGCAGCAGGATTGAACTTGTGTCCTCCGGATTGCCGTTCTGGTGCTCTACCAACTGAGCTATCCAGCCCTATGTAGGCAGTTCCCCATTTCTGTCAATGTCTTTGTTCAAGGGGTGCTAGTCAGAAGCATATACCCCTATATGCCCATGTAGCCAGGGATCATGCCGAAAGTGACAATGCTAGCAACACTAGCTGGGCTGCAAATCCAGGAAATGGCAAATGTAGATCACTCAGAGATACTTTCCTTTTTAAATTTCTTTTTCATCCTCAAAATTATTAAACAGGCACCTAGTCAGTTTTCCCTTAGGGACTTTTTGGCTTATTTAATTGAATCCATGGTTTTCTTTTCAGATATATTGGAGTGTGCCAGTTCTCCCTGTGTGAATGGTGGTCTGTGCTTCGAGGGAGTCAACTCCTATTTCTGTCAGTGCCAGATGGATCATCGGCAAACGCTGTGAAAATGGTACAGTAAATCAGTATTTTTCGATGGTGTTGTCAAGTCCATCACAAGTCCTCAAAGTGCGATCACAAAGTCATTCACTCTTAAAGTAGAGTAGATCATTTGCAGTTATCTAAAAGTAATTGGCCAAATTACTGTTGAAAAACATACTTGGTTGAAAGATAATAATGGCAATAAACTCCCTGTGAAATGATTCTTTCTGGCAGAAAATAAAAGAAGGCCAATTTCCAAGGATGGGTCAAGCAACGCATTTTTGGAAACTTTCGCTAGTAGTTGGTTTGTATTCGGTAAATCCGTGAATGGGTGTGCGCAAGCGTTGACATGATGCACACAGGCGTGGTTGCTGTTATTTGTTGGTTCAGTGCGTGACATCGCGTAGCTGCAATCAGCTGAATGAGAACATGCCCAGATGCTGATTTCGGGTGCAATTCACAACATGACTCAGCAACTTTTGAATCTTAATTGAGATCCTAGAATATTGTTTTCTCAGAATATACAGCATTCACAAAGCTAAAACTTCATCAGGTAATTGTTAGTCACCCGTCTTAAGATTTTGAGCACTTTTTGCTTCAAATGCACAAATGACAAATGATCTACCCTTAAGTCAAGGCACTGTTCAAGTGCTGAAGGCATTCCTTTGTTTATTGTTCATCCGCTGTTACTTGTGACCAGACTTGTGAACAGACTTGTAATATACTTGTCGCTGGACTTGTGATGGACTTGTTAGGGACTTGTGATGGACACACATACAAAACTGATCTGAAGTATTTTTCTTCACATCCAGTTCTGATGTTGATAAGTATTCAACTTTTTTTGTGGAAGTAAATGATTTGGTATTGATTATTTACAGCTGTGTGTCTCTTTATTGTTTTTATTTTAACACTGATACAGAAACCATAGAATGTAGGAGTAACCCGTGCCAAAATGGCGGTTTGTGCTATGAAGGTACCAGTAGGTACGCTTGTGTCTGCCCAGATGGCTACAATGGAACCAAACTGTGAAAATGGTACGCTCAGTATTTCTATGTGCACAGCTTCTTTTTGACACTTCATACATAATAATGAACCAAACGCACTTCTCTAAGTGTCATGATTGCACAGGATGCTTGGGACTATAATTCACTTACAGTGAAGTAAGGTATTTCATAATAATTTGGTAGTTTTGATGAATGCAATGTTGTATATTAACTTTAAGACAGAACAATTAATAAGGGATCCCATGGAATTTCTGCTCTCAAGTGTTTCATAATGTCCTCTCATAAAATAATGGGGCTGTAATGCATGGTCCCACAGAACCAGAGAGCTTCTGAAAAATTTGATGTTGAAAGGTCAGTTGCAGGGGATAAACAGGTCATAGGAATGGTTATGATTATCTGGCATCTGCGTGGTTGTCTGGCATCTGCGTGGTTGTAACATGCTTTACTGTTTATGTCGATAGATATTGATGAGTGTGCAAGCAACCCTTGTATGAATGGAGCAACATGTAATGACGGCATCAACCAGTACAACTGCACATGTGCCCCAGGATTCAACGGCACAAACTGTCAAACGGTATGCACACACTCCTGTTTGATCACAAACTGGTACTTGTTTCACTGTACTTGTAACCATACACACAATTATTTTCCACTAGTAAATAACAATGTGGTGCTTGTATATTGATCAAAGTGCTTCACAATTATTACCCCTGTTCATCAGGCCAATAGACTAGTTTTCTGCAGCTGCCTGGGATAAGTGTAATTTGATCGCTACCGTCACAGGTACCCATTTATGCTCCTGGGTGGAGAGAGGCAATTGTAGTAAAGTATCCTGCCAAAGGACACAGACGCTTTTTTTTGGAATTGAACTGCAACACTGGCTTGTAAATATTTCACATTTAGTCATCTATGCTTCGCTTTATTTGCCCGTAAGACCTGTCTTCCAAACATAAAATGGTAAAGAAGTGCTTAAAAGTTCCTAAACGGGTTCAGTTTTTCTCATTTACAGTGACGCATTTGGCAACTTGAGTTGTGCAGTAAGTCCTGTGTGACTACTTTATAGAATTTGTCAAAATGTATTTGTCAAAATGTCATTAGAATTTGTCAACTACTGAGAAACAACCTAACCAGTTTGTGGGTGCTATCTCCAAAACCTCCCCTGTTCTTGCATGGAGCCCACAGCTTACCATGACAGTTTATTTGAATGAGCAGGCGATGGAAAACTTTGAATAATGGTATTCGCTACTTTCGTTTTTTCTTCAGATATCCAGGAATGTGCCAGTAACCCATGTCTGAATGGTGCATCGTGCACTGAGAGTGTTGGTTCCTACTCATGTGAGTGTGTTCCTGGCTATGCAGGGGATAGGTGTGAAACTGGTAAGCAACTCACAACCATAGTTTCTGCTTACCCCTTAACCCTCAAAGAAATGGGATATCACTTCATTTCACCTTAGAGCTGAGGGGGGACGCTGTTCTGAGAATTACTACAAAGAAATTCATGCTTAGTATATGTTAGGCGTTCTAGCAAAATGAGACGGAACTGGGAACAAGCAATAGTGGAGAAAAAATGCAAAAAAAATAAAGGGGAGATTTTTTTATATGTTCACTTTCATTGATACTTGTAACCTTTGATATGTCTACAAAGACATATTTTAAAGAAATACAGGGTGAGTAAAAAAAAAACCCTGAAACCCAAGTGTCGGGACCATTTTTTTGGTGAAGTTCTGCATGTAGCACTTTCAAAATCTAGGATATGAAAGCCCAATTCATAAGCTTTCTTTTAGTACAAGAATCATGCACTTTTCAGTACGGAATTTAAACACAAACACCATTTTGAAGCTCTGTCCACATACATCCCTATGTGAACACATCCCTATTCACAAAAGCTACATCTGATTATTATTAGATGCGAGTCAAAAAGTCTGCAAGACATAACTCGTAGATGTGGTCTCCCCGAGAGTAGAAAAAGGGCGCTGATGATATCCGAAAAAAAATGTAGGGGGGGGGGGAGTGTCAGTCAGCAACATACATTCCATCCGTAACCTCATGAAATTATTCTTACCATTGCACTCATAACCATTCATTATTTGTATATTACCAGACATTGATGAGTGTAGCAGCAGCCCCTGTCAGAACAATGCAACATGTGTTGACCTGCTGAATGCATACAGCTGCAACTGTACCGCTGGATGGCAAGGGACAACTGTGAAATTGGTGAGTTTAATTTCCGACACAGTTTATTAAAGAAATGCTTAGGAGAACAAAAGATCCTTTCAGTCCTTGAGTGTGTGGGTCTTTTGTTTAAAAACGGTCCTCGATCGTACAGTTATGTGCTTAGTCTATAGGAGAGTGTTATATTTTATATTACAGGGACAAAGGGACACACAAAGCATTGTCCTTGGGCGTATGGAAATTCACAACAAAATAAAACAAATGTGGCGACATTCAGAAAATGGGCTCAAAATCTGACGATATTCTTAACACGGCGCACGTGAACAAATCTCAGCATTTCCTGAGTGAACATTTAAGAATTTCTTTAAACTTGACAAATTCTGATAAACCTTGTTATCCCCACTTACACATCTAACTACATGTTTGTAAGAAGATAATGTCTTATATTTGGGCCATTTTAAAAGGGTACAGTGTAAAGTTCACAATAAAATCGAAAAAAGCACCACAAACAAAACAATTCTGTCTGAACTTTGTAACGGGTGGTCACTCAAGTTCAATGAACAAGTTAAAAACGTGATGAAAGTCTCTTAGTGTGAAATTTGGGGTAGAATGCTTGCTCTAGCAAGGCACTAGAGGCGAAAAATCAAGAGGCACCGTTGCGGCATTTTGAGTTACGGGGGTATTCATGCACATAATATCCCATTCTCATGACGGGAATAGAGTATTACTTCGAGATAAATAGACTTTCAACTTATCCGAATTGACTTAACGAGAGTTTACTGTATGTGTTCGTTACATTCATAATCACATTCGGTTCGTGTACTTCATGTCATACAGTACGTGAGCGACCAGTGTGCAGACTCATTGTGTCCCGCTTATGGGCGTTCGCTAGTAGTCATGAAGCCCAAATTATAATCATGCGCAGAATGCATGCATGTTCTACTTACAAATCAATGGTGATGCAAATGAATTGTCCCTCAGAACCAGATAGCTCTTATGTTATTTGACGTTGAAGGAACGCTTGCGCCATACAACTTGTCATGGTTGTCAGAGATCGTGTTGTATATGCCACCTTTTCTTATTTTGTTGGCAGATATTGATGAATGTGCAAGCAACCCTTGTATGAATGGAGCAACATGTATGACGGCATCAACCAGTATAACTGCACATGTGCCCCAGGATTCAACGGCACAAACTGCCAAACAGGTTTGTTTACATGTGCAGTTGTAAACATACATAGATGTGACCATTTGCCTAATGCATCCATGAGCTTTTGCAGTATATATTTTGAACACTGTCTTGATTCGGAGTATGTTCTCTCCTTGATGAACTCAAACATGAAGTAAACATCTTCAGAAGGTGTTCTGTCCATGTATTGTTGAGTTTCACTCCAAAAAAAGATTTTATTTTTAAATTGCTATCTTTCTAGCAATACAAATGTTGTTCACTTTTCAATGGGACATCAACCAAAAAAATTTGCCCATGTTTAGTTTAAAGGTACAATGGACAGTTGTCATTTGTGCATTTGTTTGGTTTGAAACAACAAAAGTGCCCAAAATCTAAAGCAAGTGCTGAACTAACCCGATGAAGGTTTAGCTCTGTGAATGCTGCATATTTTGCAAAAAACACAATATTCTGGATCTCGATTACATTCGTGTCAACACTTTGCACCCATTCTCGGATTTGCCCAGTGACAGACCAACTACAAATGGAAATGCCAAGAATGTTTCACTTGACACATCCTTGAAAATGACCTTGTATTGTTTTCTTCGAAATGACTGCACGCCAAAAGAAATATATTCACAGTGTCATTACTATCTTAAACCAAGTAAGCTTCTTGAAAATAATTTGGTCAGTTACTTTTTAGATTGCTGCAGGTGGTCCCCTCTACCTTTAATTACTTTTCAAATTATGAATTGTTTGCAGCCTGACAATAATTCAGTTCTTGCAAGATGGACTTGTTCCCGCCTCCTTTTAGAATTGATAATGTAGGCATTGGGAACCAGTCTACCGGCAGGGCGGATCTGTTGTGTGCAAAGCAACCAAAAACAAAATCCTTTAATTGACAATGCCAATGGAAAAAACCCAGTTTTTTTGTTATTGGCCTTGCCACACAAAGAGAATGAAGCATATCAATGAGTAACACACGCAATGTCATATATCAACAGTCATGACAGTGCTTGCATAGTATGAAAGGCATACCACGTTCAAAATATAAGAGATTACCGAATGTTCAATGGCATTTAATTCGCTTTCAGCACTCGAGCAACGAGAACTGCTCATCTATCTACTTGCCTTTGTTTTGTTTTGCTTAGAAATTCTGGAATGTGCTAGTAACCCATGTCTGAACGGTGCGTCATGCAATGAGGGGGTTGACTCCTATTCATGTCAATGTGTTCCTGGCTATACAGGGGATAGGTGTGAAACAGGTAGGAGCTAACTGCTTTACTTTGCTGTGCTCTGAACATCTCATTTTTATATTCAATTTGATTCTCAGGTATTTGTGATTGGTGCAAAGTCAGTTTTGTTTGATATAAATCTGTATTTGTTGCTTTTCTTGTTTTTGACCAGACATTGATGAGTGTAGCAGCAGCCCCTGTCAGAACAATGCAACATGTGTGACCTGCTGAATGCTTACAGCTGCAACTGTACCACTGGGTGGCAAGGGGACAACTGTCAAATCGGTGAGGCACTTGAAGTGCTTTGTTTTTGTTTTTCAAATAGTGCTGTCAAGTAAAATTCATCATGCAAAAAACCTGTAAGTATAACATGCACACGACAAACTCACCATTTTTTGAAAACTTTCTTCATGTTCTTTTTCTAACAAGTGAGGCACTGTTGCACGCAGTCTTTGATTGAGGGGTTTGGGTTCAAATTGTAAACCCCCAAATTTGCTTCTTGAAACATTTTGTTCATAAAGTTTGCTTATGCTGTAATGAAATGAATCACCAAACAAAGGAAATTTACCGCAGCAATAAAAAAGTTGGGCTACTTTTTTGTGCTGAATCAGCTAGAAGAGCACCGAATTTTCTGTTGTTTATGACATTACATTTTTTCTTGTGAATATAGAGTTTTGCATTAGCATAAAACAGTACAAAAAGGCAGCAAACACCCTAGAGGTGCATTTCAAGGATTCCATGAGGCTACTAAATATTTATGAGGTGTAGTAAACAAATACAGCATGGTTTATTTCTGGAAAATAGTTGGAATTACTGGTCCCTCGATGTAGGTCAGCTTGACTACCTCCCTCTGCTTCGCGTCGGGAGGTAGTCAAGCTGACCTACACTGAGGGACCAGTAACTTCCACTACTTCCCTTCAAACCATGCTGTATTTGTATAATACTATTTGGCATGACTCTGAAACACCTGTCAGAAAAAAGATGTATTATGACCTTGTTGTGCACTTTAATGATTTAGACATTGTTGGCTGATTTCATCGGAACTTACATTTGTTTTTCAGATATTGCTGAATGTGCCAGCAATCCTTGCCACAATGGAGGTACTTGTGTCGACAGTGTTGGTTTCTATGAGTGCCAGTGTGCTGATGGTTACATTGGAGATCGCTGTGAAATAGGTACGTCAAACGGAGACTTATTAAAATAAACTTTGATAGTTGGTTTTGCTCTTCGCTGACGTAATGTTATAAGCAGCATATTCTTGGTGCTGTCTGAAACTTGTTGAAAACAATTCGTAAAGCTTGCCTGGGTGCGACATAAACTAACTACCCTTGCCCACTAGTGCAGATGTCTCACACAGTGCTCATATGAACTTCATCTCATTTTTGCATGTAACAAGTCCCTGTCCATATACATACCAAGTTTCAACCCTATCGTTAATGTAACGTCATGTGACATATGATGTAACATCATGATGTCATTACAATTTTCACCAATAACATGTCCCTGTCTGTGTACATACGATGTTTCAATCCAATCTGACCTGTAATTCTCTAGATACTGGGCTTCAAATAATGTATATTTAATGGACATCATGCGACACATGATGATGTCATCATGATGTCATTTAAATTTTCACCTCTAGCACGTCGCGGACACGTCCCTGTACATACCAAGTGTCAACTCAATCTGACCTGAAGTTTTCAGCAGGTTTGCAGAAAGAGCCAAATGAAAAATCCATCATACAAGATAAATTTTAGTTAAATATGTTAATGTGCAATGACTGCTCATGTAAGATCATAAATTCAAACATGAAATGTTGAAACATAGTTGTAAGCATATTCACGTTCTCTGTAAAAAAATTTTTTCTGTCATCATTGCCACACACCTTTTAAACATGGGCATCAAATGAATCGCCAACGAATGCTGCAAAACACATTTTGACTCTAATTTCATAAAATTAAGATGCACTTGTATCATTCTCCAAAAATTCAAATTGCAAGTCGCTGTTGTGCTGAACATTCATATTATAAAGTTTATGGACCAAGTTTATGAAAACATCTGCAAATGGTTAAGACAATGATGAATACTTGAGAAAATAAAGAATTTGGAGCAGTTTTGTGTATCAGTAATTTATTGAGACTTGATGAAGGTATAAAAAAAACCATCATTTTCTGACTGTGACGTCATTGGCACAATATTACCTACATGTAGCTTGCTTGAACTGTTGGATGTCGGATTAAAAAGGTCTGCATTTCATTTCAAAATTCCATCAAAGTACGAGACTTGCATGTGGGGAATGTCCAGAAATTGAACAAATACGCAGTCTTTACAAGAAAAGGGATTATGAATGACCCAAGGGATTAAATCTAGCCTAATCTTAACTTGATGCTATGGTACTGTTCATTTTACTGTTTAGATACATCCCCATGTGGTAGCAGCCCGTGCAATGAATAACGCAACATGTCGCAACTTGGATACATCATACAAATGCTTGTGCTCCATCGAATGGACTGGAAGTATTTGTGACATTGGTAAGTTAATGCCACATTTCAGACTTGCGTTCCAGAGACACACTGAACCAAAATAATCCAAACATAAAAACCAAATAAAAATTAAAGGCATTGCATTTTTCCCCAAAAGTATCCCACCAAATTATTATCAAAGAGCTTACTTGGATTAAAGAACGTACTGACACCAAACACCATGTGAGATTATTTCGTGTGGCTTACTGTTAAAAAAAAAATCCAAGAAGTAATTCCAACAATCACTTAATTGACTGATTTTTGAAATGAGTGAAGAATGATATTGATGAAATCATGTTTCGTGATCAAAAACTTGTTCATGGTTTTCATTGTTTCTTGAAAAGTGTAGTATCCCTGAGCTGAAACAGGTCAAGTTTTGAAACATCTTCTTTGGATTTTGAGTGGTGTTTGTTCTGTATTTCCTCTCTTTTATATATTCATTTGTACTAACTTGTTCACTTATTGTGCCACTTTGTATGCGATATATGGAGCAATAAATCAAATCAAATATTTTAGTTTTAAAAGTTGAACAAAAAATTGACTAGCGACCTCTGGATTGACGTTCCGGTACTCTACTAACTGAGCTTCCCAGCCCTATGTTGGCGGTTCCCCATTTTGTCAGTCTTTGTTAAAGGGGCGCTAGTCAGAAGCCATAAACCCATATGCTCTCTGAGTGATCCCCATTTGCTATTTCCCAGGTTTGCAGCATTCCTTGTGCTGCTAGCATCGTGACTTTGGGCATGATCCCTGGCTACATGGCATATACGGGTTTATAGCTTCTGACTAGCGCCCCTTGAACAAAGACATTGACAAATTGAACTGCCAACATAGGGTTGGATAGCTCAGTTGGTGGAGAACTGGAACGGCAGTCGGAGGCGCAGGTTCAAATCCCACTCCAGTCAACTTCTTTGTTCAACTTTTAGAAATTGTTATAATGCACCTAGTGTCCCTAGTGTTTGTTTTTTTTCAAATTATTTTAGGGTAGAGCACTGAACCGTATTTCTTTCACTGCCATTTTTTTAACATTTTAATCTTCAAAGAAAACCCACGGTCACTATTTTTCCTTTGTGACTGTACTGATTTTCTTTCCAGCTGTGGATGCATGTGTCAACTCTCCCTGTTTGAATGGAGGAAACTGCACCAATTACTACACTCACTTCAACTGCACATGTCCCTTAGGATGGAGTGGCCTGCAATGTGAAATAGGTCAGTTTAAAGACGCATACCCATGCTCTTCAGTAGCAACTGCTTGACTCACCAATACTGATACTTCATTGCAGGAAGATTGCGGGAAGTGTTCAGAATCCTGCAACTTATGCCAGATACAATGTCACAACTTGTCCGGAACTCATCCCAAATATGAATTGAGACAGGCCCTTAATACATTATATTCAAAACATAGTGACTGAGTACATTGTTGAAAAGTTTGATATTTCTTTGTTTTGTTATAGAAACCATTGAGTGTTCAAGCCAGCCGTGTTTAAACGGAGGCACATGCTTTGAAGGCAACAATGCATTCAGATGTATCTGCTTGCCCGGTTACTCAGGAAAAACATGTTGAAGCAGGTAAGCGTACCAACTATGGAATATCATAAGCAGTTCAAAGCTTGTCACTAATGAATATGTATCAGAAACACAAAATTACCTTCTCTAGCCTGGTTTTGGGTGGTCCTTTGAATGGCATATAGGATCATTTGCATTTATCTCAAAAACAACCTACCAAACTATTGTCAAAAAGCTTACTTGGATTAAAGATTGTACTGGTACTAAACACCCCGTGAAATTATTCCGTCTGGTTTGCTTTTATTTAGAAGAATAAAAAAATGTAGGTGATTTCCATCGATCAGTCAATTGACTGATTTTTGGAAATATAAAGAATGCTGTAGACAAAATCGTGTTTCGTGATCAAAGGTAGTGCATAGTCGTGGGGCTATCCCGGATGAAAGCTAATAGTAACCATAATAAATCCTGTATATCGTTTTTTTTTGAAATATTCTTTTTACAGATATTGAAGAGTGCTCCAGCAGTCCTTGCCAGAATAATGGATCCTGCATTGAGGGAGTGAATGGATACATCTGCCAGTGTATGGCATCACATACTGGCACACATTGTGAGATAGGTAAGGCATGATGCTGACAATATAGCCATTCGCCAATATTCTAAGTGAGTTAAAATATTGATATACCTGGTGTCACACACCTCACTATTGATTTATAATTGTTGTCTGCAAATTCGCTGCCCTGTCAGCAAAATTGTGTGTCTGTCGGCAATATATGATGCAATGAAAAGCGCCATGCGTTAGTATCCAAGATCATCTGCAGCACCCCACTAGCCAGATGGTTGCCAGCTCTCACCCTCCCCCTTTTTGATTTCGCAGCGAAAGGGCCCCACCCCCCCCCCCAAAAAAAAAAGCCTGGCTACCTTCCAACACAAATGGTCTGTTGGCAAATTTGTTGTCACACACCCTTGGAAGTGGAACCATGACTGCAGTGTAACCGTGCGTTCCCCATAGCAAAGGCATGCACTCAGTTTCTTCTCGTTTGTGGGCCTTTCCGTGCTATCCTGTTCATAAGTGTAACGTCATTTCAACTTAAACCACGCTCACTACACACGGAGTAGCATTGGAACCATTGGAACCGGAAGAAGTGCAATGTGGGTGTTAAGCCAGTGGGTGCTAGTAATCAGTAGTGCGTGTGCGTGTATGGCGCAGTCACTTACGAATCTAAGACAGCACATCTTAGAATAATTCAAGAAATGAGGATGAAAATCCAGTATTTTGTGTTGACATCTATGGACATAGACAACCAGTATAAACGCTGTGAGCTAAATTTTTTTTTTAAAAGTGGAGCGCCCAGAAGCATGCTAGTACTGTAGCCAGATTAGTCTATCCAGATTTTTTTTTAAAGGTATTGCACATATTGACTTAAAATTCTTGAGACTTAAGAGACAGTTGCCCTTTGGCATGCTCTATTGTACACAGAAACCAGACAATATCAGTACTTGAGGTTGTGATCATCTATAGATACAAACAAGAGAGAGCTGTCAAATTCTCTGCAGTTGTATACCTGGTGCTCACATGAAAACAATATGGGCTCAGATGAAAATTTACTTGTGCGAACTTAGCGCAATATGCGCGAACCTTGTGTGTATGTGTATTACATAGAGCAAGAGGACAAGTAGAGAACAACATATCTTTGTTGTCCTCGAATGTACATGTACATCTTTTATTGAAAATGGTCTTCCAAAATAAGTCTGTGTGCTTAGTCTATGGGAGAGTGTTATAATATAGACACAATGCCTTGTCCTCAGATGTAATGGTAAAGTATGACTGTTTTGCGCCTGGCTTGTGTCCTGAAGTAAACAAAAATAGTGTGTCACGAGCCAATGTGGCCATCAGGCCGGCGTTTATCTCCGGTTTCAGTAGCATGAAACGACTGAGAATATTTCTACCCCCTTGGATGGGATGCTAGTCATCACAGGTTACTGCCCAGCTAATGCTGGTCCCCTTTTGTACTCCTGGGTGGAGAGAGGCAAGTTGGGGTGAAGTGGCTTGCCCAAGGACACAACATGACCAGCAGCTGGATTTGAACCCCTGACTGTCTGATCATGAGTCATGAACCCTAACCACTAGGCCACACCCTACTTGTATTCTAACACGAAGCTTTTACGAGAACTCATGGGGTGCCATCTACCATCCTTGACAGACTTCATCAACCCTTGGCATTGCTAGGGATCACAGTGCTAAAATCGTTTTCATAATTTCCTCCCATCAGTGCAACAAGGTCGTAACTCGATTCTGTCGGCAATATATGATGCAATGAAAAGCGCCATGCGTTAGTATCCAAGATCATCTGCAGCACCCCCACTAGCCAGATGGTTGCCAGCTCTCACCCTCCCCCTTTTGATTTCGCAGCGAAAGGGGCCCACCCCCCCCCCCCCCAAAAAAAGCCTGGCTACCTTCCAACACAAATGGTCTGTTGGCAAATTTGTTGTCACACACCCCTTGGAAGTGGAACCATGACTGCAGTGTAAACCGTGCGTTCCCCATAGCAAAGGCATGCACTCAGTTTCTTCTTCGTTTGTGGGCCTTTTCCGTGCTATCCTGTTCATAAGTGTAACGTCATTTCAACTTAAACCACGCTCACTACACACGGAGTAGCATTGGAACCATTGGAACCGGAAGAAGTGCAATGTGGCGTGTTTAAGCCAGTGGGTGCTAGTAATCAGTAGTGCGTGTGCGTGTATGGCGCAGTCACTTACGAATCTAAGACAGCACATCTTAGAATAATTCAAGAAATGAGGATGAAAATCCAGTATTTTGTGTGACATCTATGGACATAGACAACCAGTATAAACGCTGTGAGCTAAATTTTTTTTAAAAGTGGAGCGCCCAGAAGCATGCTAGTACTGTAGCCAGATTAGTCTATCAGATTTTTTTTAAAGGTATTGCACATATGACTTAAAATTCTTGAGACTTAAGAGACAGTTGCCCTTTGGGAATGCTCTATTGTACACAGAAAACCAATATCAGTACTTGAGGTTTGTGATCATCTATAGATACAAACAAGAGAGAGCTGTCAAATTCTCTGCAGTTGTATACCTGGTGCTCACATGAAAACAATATGGGCTCAGATGAAAATTACTTGTGCGAACTTAGCGCAATATGCGCGAACTTGTGTGTGTGTATTACATAGAGCAAGAGGACAAGTAGAGAACAACATATTCTTTGTGTCCTCGAATGTACATGTACATCTTTTATTGAAAATGGTCTTCCAAAATAAGTCTGTGTGCTTAGTCTATGGGAGAGTGTTATAATATAGACACAATGCCTTGTCCTCAGATGTAATGGTAAAGTATGACTGTTTTGCGCCTGGCTTGTGTCCTGAAGTAAACAAAACTAGTGTGTCACGAGCCAATGTGGCCCATCAGGCCGGCGTTTATCTCCGGTTTCAGTAGCATGAAACGACTGAGAATTATTTCTACCCCCCTTGGATGGGATGCTAGTCCATCACAGGTTACTGCCCAGCTAATGCTGGTCCCCTTTTGTACTCCTGGGTGGAGAGAGGCAAGTTGGGGTGAAGTGGCTTGCCCAAGGACACAACATGACCAGCAGCTGGATTTGAACCCCTGACTGTCTGATCATGAGTCATGAACCCTAACCACTAGGCCAACACTCCCTACTTGTATTCTAAACACGAAGCTTTTACGAGAACTCATGGGGTGCCATCTACCATTCCTTGACAGACTCATCAACCCTTGGCATTGCTAGGATCACAGTGCTAAAATCGTTTTTCATAATTTCCTCCCATCAGTGCAAAAGGTCGTAACTCGATTCTGCAACAAAGTTTTATTTTGCATGAATACGCTCTGTGTAACAAGGTCGTATCTCGCGTATCGCGACGTCGATTGACTTTGTGTGAACATCTGGGTTATTTTAAGCGAGATACTACCTTTTGACATTAAAAATTCGCATTTCACGTACATGATGTCACACGCCATTTCAGGAGATACAACTTTGTTGCACGGACACGATGATTTGATGATCTTTTTTTCCAGATATTGATGAGTGTGCTAGCGATCCTGCCTGAACAACGCCACATGTATGGATCAACAGGGGCCTACCAATGCCTGTGCACGGCTGGATATGATGGCCAAAACTGTGAAAATGGTAATCTCATACATGAATAATTCTCTGAGCATTATGTCAAAGACTCGCTCTTCAGGGTGCTTTGAAAACAGGGTATTTAACTGTTGTTGAAAATATAGTTCTTTCCCTTTACAATGACAGTTTCAGTTTTGAAAATGGACTTCCCTTGGCAAAATTATGCCATTGAAAATTGGTAAATTTCAGCCACTTTCATGTCAAGATGCTTGTAGTCAAGAGACATGTTTTCTCGATGTGTTCTGTCTGGTTTTGACAAAACACTCACATGTGGCCTGCACAGCAGGCTCCATTGATCATCACTTTACAAGTAGCAGGTTGGTATGCTACTTGTCTGCCATCAATTCATTATTAATAAACCTACTATTTAAGAGGTCACAAATGGTCAAAATGTTTGTATCTCACCTCTGGCATACTGTGCACAAACCAATGGGGGTCTTGACCAATATTGACCCAAGTAATAACCAGGCTGACAATGCATGTTTTCATAGGAGGGTTAATCTAGAAAAAACTATATATAAAGTTTCCTTATTTACAGATATCAATGAGTGTGATAGTAACCCCTGTCTGAACGGCGCTACCTGCGTACAAGAGTTAGATCTCTATACATGCCAGTGCCCCCTTGGCTTCAACGGTACCAACTGTGAGATAGGTATGTAGAAATCGTAGGTAAAGACTATAATGTTTATCATTACAATTAGCACGAGTGTATATTGGGTTGGCAGTAGGGGTATATTTTTACAGCTAACTTTAGAACACGTTACTGTTGCAGTACTCGCCCGATACCAGCGGAACTGCAGTTAGTATTTAAAAAAAAATCCTGAAGTGAGGTGTTTTTCATTGCATGCAATCTGCATGGTGGCTCACACAGCACCTAAGGTTAGCTGAATGATACCACAACTTCTCCATCAGAAGTTGTTGACAATGGACTTATAATAAATTTAATTATTTCTTGGGCGCAAAGCAAAAAAGAATAGTTTTGTTTCTTTCACAAAGTTTTTTTGCTTGTTTCTCCAAAAAAGGTTTTGGACAATAACCCCCAAAATGGGATCAGATACTCGCCATTTTCAATTGTGTAAGGGTCATCCAGGTGTCCATATCATCCTATAATTGGCAGTTTCTACTTGATGACATTTGTAGGGATTTTTACATCATAATGTACATCCATATTCTGTGCCGGTTTTTTTTACAGTCACTTTTGAATTAAACTCAAAACATTCGTTGAAACTGTTTGCCTTTTTTGGGTCAAAACAGCGGATCTACAGAAGTGAAAACTCAGAATTTACAGTCATCTGAAAATTTCATTTGGATATGATATTTATATTTGATGTCTTGCAGATTCAAATCCGTGTTTGAGCGACCCATGTCTGAATGGCGCAACTTGTTTACAACAACTTGACCTTCATACTCCTGCCAATGCCCCGCAGAATGGTCAGGAATTAACTGTGAAACAGGTGAGCTGTTTTATTTGCATATTTCCTTTTCCCTAACTTTTAACTAAGGGAATAAATGTGTGCTCAGTCGGTTTAAACAAGTACGTTTAACATCGGCTAGGGGCCCGGACGCGGATAATGGCCCGAGCCAAAATAAAAAACCTTTCGGTCAACAAAGCAAAATAAGTAAAAAATGGACAAAATCTTAATGATTTTGTTCAACAGTTTTACTTCAATGTTTTTGTGAAACACCCCTCTGGCCCTGTCTATGGTATGTGCCTCGCGGGGGTAGTGCTAAAAATGTCCTAATAAAGAGATTGGCATGCGCGCGGCCTGCGTGAGTGGCACAGAACACAGCGGTGTTTACTTGTGGTTTTATTAAACCACCCATGTGATGGGCTGTTGATCAATAGGAAAGGGTAGACTGTCTCAGGTATTTATGAATGGAGGTTTAGATAGCTCAGCAAGTCACATTCTGTGAGCTTCATGTCAATGGGAATCGACCTTTAAATAGTAAACTTTTAGCAAAAACTTTCAAACACCGTTTATGTGTTCAAACATTTAGCAAACTAAATCAGTCGCACTTAGAAGATGCAAGGAGCCAAGATCTTTTCAAGCACCATATGGAAAACATCAAAACACAACCAACTGTATACAATGTATAGAGCTACAAAAACAGATATACCTGTATCTGCCAGTCTTTGAAAAAGGGTTCTATAGTTTATTGATTCATCAGTGAATGAACACAATGTAATACAATGTAGTACAAGTGCTAATGGGTTAAATAGTTTAACAGGCACCACATAGCGCAGTATGCATCACGCGTGCCAATCTCCATAAAAGGAGACTACTCGGGAGAGGCACATACCATAACATAGCTACATTTTTTTTTTTAAATGTGAAGTAAA